TCTTACATTTCGTTGAACTCTCAAATATTATTCTATATTTGAAAAAATCTGTATTTGTTTTTTTAGTTTGACTTGCTTCCTCTGGCAACTAGTACGAAAATAAACGGGTCACCATACATCTGTAGCCTTCAAAGCTACAGTAACGCTTCACATCGAAAGCGCGAACCAAAATTCGCTCGAAAATCGCTCCTCTGATCTGCTGATATTCCCGCCTACTCGGGATGTATTTGATGCGTTCTTTATTTAAAAAGGGCAGGACCAAGCTTATAAGTCAGCCAGCCGCTTGTTGTTACTGAAAATGCCTGATGGTAACTTTTTCAACTGATTGTTTTGCCACCCACCAAAGATGATTAAGAGTGATGTTAATTACACTGGATTCGTAAATAAACTATGGAAATTGTTCTTCTCAAACTGAAATTGTTGTACTTTTCCATATTCTACACAAAGTCCTAACACATATACTCTAACAAATTGATTTCGTACATGATCGGATGTTTTCTTTTTGGGGTTCTGTATTAACGCTTGAAAGCAGTTAATACGCTACTCAACAATAAATTTAAAGGGTAAAATTACACTTTGTCTTAATTGTATGGGAGGCTCAGGGTTCCTGACCGACAACGGCTAAGAGTGGAAAAGTTTGAAATAATAGGTAAACACAAAATATTTCAATACTTTTATTTAAAACTATATATTGAGCGCGCGCATGCAAATTCAAACGCTATGTTTAGGTTTATATCGCCAGGTAAAGTCATGATATAAAATCGATATTTTGTTTAAAATAATTTGTTTGAATGCTTCAGAGGAAATGATCTAAAGGCAAGCAACATGTTAGTCTTCTGAATAGGCTTTATAACTGAAAATTTGCATGCTCTATGGTCAATATTCTGTGATTTTAAACGCTCAGGTGGTAGATGGATAAGGAGAAGAGAAAATAATGGGTTATTATTTATTCTTGGCGAGGAATAACGTCAAAAGGAGTGATCCACCACAGAATGAAGGAGGATAAGTTTCTAAAGAAACTGTTGTGCTGCGTCGGTGGGGCTAACAAGGTAATCCGGTTATATCAAATGAGTTGAAATTGTAAATCGGCCACCGTAAAGAGTTCAAAAGCTAACGTTTCGAGCGTTAGCCCTTCGTCAGAGCGAATGGAGGAATTGTGGGTTGCGTGTGGGTTTAAATGCAGAAAGCCGAGAAGCTACGCTATTGGTGGGAACATATTGACGAGAAAAACACGAACAAACTAGTAAAATGAAAAGCGTGCGTTGACACCTATAGGGTTAAGAGTGCCGATTTAAAGGATACTCCTTTTTTCAAGAGTTTTGTGTTTAATAAGACTGATTCTGTGTTCCATTTCAAATTATTTGAAATTTAACTCATTGCATATGACTTTCTTCATACCTATACATGAGGGTGTACAATCGCAAAATATCTGCACAAAATTCCCTCTGGCTAAATCTTGTACACTTTTATAATTTTGTAAAATTCTTGAAAATCTTCAGGTATGTACATTGAAGTGATGGGTGTAAGTAGACATGTTTACTATTTTAGCGCTAAGCCCTCGAAAAAAGTTTTAAAAGCTTTTGAAACCCAGGGACTGGTGATGAGATATTTCTCATTCAATAAGATAAATA